AAATGCAATTACCAATGAATGAGGGAGGATTCGGTTTTCTGAATCTGGAGCTATATCATCACACTTACCTATTGTCAAGTATTAAATACTGGAAACCAACAACTGGTGTTAATTCCCCAATTTGGGCAACTTTGGAATATACATATATAGCACCCTTGGTTGGATGGACAGTATTAGGATCTAAATACACCAGAACTCCAGTATCTCTGGAACCTATAACATCAGAAAGCTATGGAAGGGAATGTCAAATAAAAAAAGATTCGACCTCTTTTCTCATGCCAAACTGACTTTATGGGGAAATCCAACTTCAAAAATTGGGAAAAAGATGGTGATATAGAAAAATTGGATGCAAGCAGGGATATTGACTTTGGACCAACTGATAGACAATAAAGATGGATTTTTAACATACTCTGTGTTAAGAGATAAATATTAACTATCAGATGTAACCCAATGGCAATATGTACAGTTGCAACATTTGTTAATATCATTGTTTGGACCAGCAGCATTTTCAGCTTCTGAGATACCTGAAATACTAGAACAACTTGTTAAATCCTTTAAAACTAAAAAAACCTACTATTAGATATCTACTACTAGATATTTGGTATCAATAAATCATAAATAATATATAAAAATAATATATAATAAATAATAAATGCAGATGTTAGGAAATGAGTGGAATAAAGAATTAGAGGTTCCTATATTGCCTAGAAATTGGGAGAGAGTCTTAACTTCTGTAGCAAGAATGTCAGTGGACCTTAAACTACAACTTATACAACAAAAAATAATATTTAGAATGTATTGGACTCCATTGCATTTGTATAGAAAAGGACTAAGACAGCATTTTGTTGGAGATGTAATAAGGATAATGATTCTTTAAAAAACATGTTTTTACAATGCCCTATACTTACTAAGTTTTGGGAGAAAGTAGTGGACTATATAAATATGACTGTGCAACAAAAGCTAAAATTTTCAGAGGATAATATTCTTTTGAACTATATACCTAGTACGTGGAATTTGACATCTGGACAACGTAAATGGATTCTCCGTGCCCTTCCTATGGCCAAAAGACCGATATTGCAGCATTGGAGAGATAAATGTCTGGCCCCGTTCACTGAGCGGATTGAAAACCTGATTACATTTTCCACCTGTGAGCGGATTGCCTATAGACACAGACTTTGTATGGACAAGTATAATGAAATATGGGGCTCATTTATGCAAAATCCAGTAGGTTAAAAAGAATGATAGCTATATAACTGCATTAGAAGTTAATATATACACACTTGAATATCATTTACTAGATAAGTATGTATAGAAGTGTAACTGTTTACATACAGTTTTACTTTTTAACTTTTTTCCTTTTTTCTGTCATGTTTTTTCACTTTTTTAAAGCCCTTTTTATCCGTTGTTCTTTTTCTTTGAGAATGTATGTATTTGCATTATAATTATCGCTGTGTTTTGTTCCTTTTCTTTTCTTTTCCTGTTATTAGCTTAAAAGCAGTACAAAAATAATGCAAAAAATGAAGCGCACGCTTTGCACCTGCCCCGAGCTCTGCAGCCCAGTTCCGTTGCTAGGAGCAGACGCGCCTTCAGAGCCTGGGAGGCTGCCTGGGTGGAGAGTGCAGACTCTTTGGCCGGAGAGAAGCCTCGAGAGCGGCTGAGGGCCTGGCTCCCTCGGAGGCTGTGGACGTGCCTCCCATGTATTCACTTGGCCAGGACTACAGCAACGCCTGCTGCTGCGTGTGGCCGAGAAAAGCCCGGGGAAGGGCCGGAATCTGTCTTTGGGGAGGAAGAATCTGGACGCGCTGACCACCCGGGGCAGGGGGGCTCTGACCCTTCTTTCGCTGCCCACTTCTCTACTTCAAATGCCCACCCACCCCCCATTTACCACTGGAGGTCTCTTTCGCACCTCGATGGGTAACAGGCAGACCTCAAAGCCGCTGAAAGGGAGGGGAGATAACCAGGGGCTCCCAGGCAGGGTGCACAAGCTGCTCTGGAAGGTAAGCTAGCAGAGACATGTGCTGGGCACCCTGGCAGGGTTTGCACACTGTCCTGAGCAAACTTGAGCTTATGCGATAAACCACAATTGGCTGACTTTTTCAACACAAGAAGTCACACGTCATGGTTTGCAAGCCACCATGATCGAGTTCACATCACACACGATAAAGCAGAGCCAAAGAAATCATGTGGCAGCCTTAGCGCACCGTGCAAACCCAGTCGTGGGACGCTTAGATTACTGATTCCGAAGGAGGAAAACGGACCACGTTCACGTGTGCTGCTTAAGTTGCCTTGGAGCTTCAAGGCCCCTAACCTGGGCAGGGAGCAGAAATTTACCCGAGCCTGGGAATTTTGATGGCTTTCACCCGCTCTAAATTAATGCCAGGCCGAAACATTTTCTTCCATGTTTTTCTCAGCATTTTCATTCAATTCAGTTTAGTGAAAGGATTTACTTCAGAAATTCCCACAGATAAAATTGTGGGTCTCTTCTTCCTTTTTAGGGTTAAAATCTCATGTCCAAAAAGTTTTTGCCCACCGTGGATGCAACTGATATTGGGCGCGATATTTGTATTGTGATTGGGTACGTAAATCCACAGAGGTAACTGTCAATCGTTCTTGACCCATTTGGTGGGGAAAAAGGGGTGAAACAGGCAAAATAAGTGGATGTGATTGACTGGTGCATGAAACTCACTGGTGAACGAAAGGAGTAAGAGTCAAATGGGGCATTCTTGCGCTATTTAACAACGAGGTGAGCAAGATGCGTATATGCACACATGGTAGCCTGTTCCGTGTCCTGTAATCTGACTTCTCAAATTTCTCAAGGGAAGATATTGGAAGGTTGGGGGGAGGGAAAGATTCCTCCTGCAAAACCTTCTCCGATAGCAGTGCTGCTGGAGAATTCCTCCTCCTCTGAAGAACCTGGAAAGGCCGTCCGCCTCATTCCATTAGCCATCAGTTGGGCTCCTAGACCTTTTTGGAAAAGGGGAGGGCAGTTACGGCTTCCCTGCTCTGCCTTTGCATGGCAAGTAAGCCGCGTCACCCACATTCTGAAAGGCCTGGGCAACGGTGGCTCCCCCCCCTGCCTCCCCCAAGATGAGTCTTGGTTCCTTTGCTGAACTGCAGAGGAGCAGGCGGAAGAGCAGCGTTCGGAGGCTGGCCCGGTATCTCTTGGGAGCAACTAGCCCTGCCTTGCCTGTGACCTTCTCCTTCCGAATCTCAGGTTGGAACCCCACATTTTTCTCTGGCAGCAGAGAGCAGATGGCCTGGGACATCTGCAGGAGCTGAGCTGCCATGCGACTACTTTCAGGTAACTGCCCTCTTTTTGTTTTTTTCTGCT